TTATTATAATTTCAAACAAATTGTGTCTGTATATACATATGGGGAGACATATATGTGTGTGTATATATACATATATATGTTAAGGTAAGTAATATGATAATCATAGCTATAAATGTTGCAGCTATGTCTTAAAAATGGAACAGAACCTCTACTGTACTCTGTGTTTTATAATAAATCGAGCCCAGTGCCATATTCAAATGTATAGTATTTATTTTAAACCGTTCACAGTGCAGTTTCTAAAAGCCTTTGTGATCCTTTTCTTTTGATTAATGATATCTAGACAAATTTAATAAGTGGAAATAAAATTGAAATGACTTGAAAAAATAGTCTGTGCAGTACCTGCGGGGAAACAATAGGGGACGTGAACTCCCAGTTACAGACCTCAGGTATAAACCATTAACATTAGGTTTAAATTAAAAGATTAGATTAGTATCAAATAACAATGTTGTACTTGAGCCACTAAAGGTTTAGTGCATCACTGCATTTCTACTACGCCCTAAAAAATCATATAGATCATTAACATAATTACATTTACATTCAGAATCTTCTACCGTTTTGAACGCGTGTGTCACATCTGGCTTTCCCTGAACAGTGACACACAATGTTGAAGGAAATCTCAGGTTACGTGAAAGGAGATATCAGTACAATACTGGAATATGTGAGATGCTGCCTTCATTGGCTAAGAGTGGAGAATATGGATTACAGGGACCATTAGTAGGAAAACAGTCTAAAAATAGCTGAGCGATATATGATCAAGATCCAAAGGACACGTGGAGTGAAACCTGCCAATCTCTTGGCTGTTTCTTTTCAATCAAATAAAAATGATCATTCTGAACAGGTAGAATTATTGCCCTTTTCTGTAGCGGGTGCCAGAAAGATGCTTATCTACAGCATGACATAATGACAGTATTGGTTTTGGACGGAGCCACGACTGTGTTTGGTGTCTCCACCTAACAAGCTAATTAACTTAAGAGGTTCCGTCAACTGGCACCTCCGATGTCTGCCTTTGGCAGCAGCTGCTGCCCCGCCCCCATGTGCAAGTCAGCGAAAAGCGTCGGTGCACAGCGCTCCGTTATGAATTTCTTTACTGCTGCTCTTCAGTGTCATTGATCAGGCTGCCAATACTGCACTTACAGTAACGCTGGCTCCCACAGTGGCCTTTAGTGACACTGAGTAATGGAACAGACACAGGAGGCATTTGCTATTTGGCCTGTCATCCACACACTAACACACACACACACACGCGGCTCCACATTCACTTCATTGTTTACACAGTGGAGCTTTATTTCAGCCCACTCCTCCCACCTCATGCCATAAGCAGCACATTTTTTCACACACACACAGACACACAACTCCCATCTACCAAAGCTTCCAGTTGTGCATCACTGATCTGGCTTGGATCCGACACAGGCTGAATCACGACGACAGTGTCAGTCTTAGGCTAAATCCTGGTGCCACCTCAATTTAAACACAGCTCAGCCTCCTCCTTCTCCATCTCCTCCTCCCTCTCTTTGATTTCCTCCTGCTCTCAGCTCTCTACTTCCACTCTAAAAGTCTTGCTTATCACTCGCTCTCCATCTTTCTTGTATAAACCACTGCACCCTTGATTCCTCAGCTTTCACACTGTCTTTGTCTGCATCTACAGACTCATTTCTGCTCAGGTCTGACAATCGATCCTCCCTGTGTCTCTGCTCTCCAAAGCCAACTTCAGCTTCCCTGCTGCACAGGATGGAGACCCCCCTACCCCCCGCCACCACATCCTGGCTCTGGTTTGCCAGACCTTGCAAAAAATAAAAAACCCTACTGCACCGACAGACAGACCATAATGTAATATTAACAAGGATCAAGGTTTCAACACGGGCTGATATCTTCACAGGAAGTTCAATCATAAAGCGTGGTATTGACAGTAAATGGATGAAGGTGATGGGATCAGATGCCTTCACTGGCCCTGACTAACCAAAGCTCTGCACTGCTGGTCGATAGAAATGATATTACAGCAACCTCTGCATGCATCCTGCATATACACACTGACACATGATTTATGTCCCCAGAGCACTTTTACAGGTTTAATCCACAGCAGTGTTACAGGGTGTTTATGTTTGAGTGTAAATGAGCCAATCAATCACACACTGAAACTAGACGTTGAAGTAATTGCAAATGTCAGTAAATATCTATGCATATACAGTATGTGTACGTTACATTCATTTTCTGACTTTTTACTTGTAATAAAAGCCTAAAGGTTTAGTGTAATATCATGTCACAGTCTTGGATATTTAAAACTATTTTCAAATACTGAAAAATATTCTGACTAAAAGCTTTGCTAATTAGATTTGCTAAATAATTTATTATTTATGTACATAAATTTACATGATTTTTCTTGTACTTATGTACATGACAAATGTAGAATACTACAACGTGAAATAATCAAAGACATACTCAGTAAACATTATTCAAAAATTTAATTAATTGTTGATTTTTCCTCTAAAATTGGGGAAAAAAATCCTTTATTGATTTAAGGTTTGGTTTAACAAATAGTTTAGTTTGTCTATAAAAAGGTTCTTTTGTATGGAAAATGGCTGAGATTTCTGCAGAAGTGTTCAAGGCTATCCTTCTGTGTGTATTTATAGAACAGGCGAGACATTTTCCAGCATTTACCATCTGCCAAGCCTTTACTATCAGAGACGTGTTCTTCTCCACTGAGTTTTTGGCATTCTCTCCTCCAAAATATTTCATTAATTTATGCAGGAGGAATAATTGCACTGGAGGGCCTGATATTTCCTTCCTTACATCCCCGTTCTGCACCGGCATCCAGCTCATTAGTTGAAGCATCTGGTCTTTCCCGTCACTGAAGGCGCACGACAAAGATTGAAATATCACACAATATGCTGAGTTCTGGGGGGAGAATACATAACAATCCTCTGTTTGAGGATATCTGTCTATTTAAAGTGGTCCGAATGAAAAAAAGGGTCAATGTTGCAGTGGAGCTGTTTAAATGAATAATGAATATATTTCCTCTCATTTTCCCACATTCATTTCCCCAAATGTTAGACATTGTCTGGGTCTTGTGTGTAAGTCATTTTCAGTATATGATGAGTAATTTCAAACCCGTCACATCTCACAGCTCCTGTGAGAGACCTGCCTGTGAGCCTTCCACCGAACGATTATCAGGCCAGGGAGAGGGAATTCAGGCACCTCCATGAATCTTTAATTAGTCTCCTCTATAGTTAGGGCCTCAGAGCCTCTCCAGTTTCTGACATTTAGCTGATTTTTTGCCCTTTGTGCACAGGGACGTGAACGAGCCAAGGTCATTTGACTGACTACAGCGATATCAAAATCCGCCTTGTTTTGCTAAAAAAATTTTTGGGACACCAGTCAACGCTGGTGCAGCCATTTTATATTAAACTCTGATTTTCATAGAAAACATAGTCAAGTATGAGTTAATTAATCAAACATTATTTTTGAGTAGTTATTTACAGGCAAAATAAGGCGTTAAAAATGATGCATTTAATGAACTCGATCTCAGTTTTTGCACTTTTGGCACACTGTGTTGCTGAGCCAAAGAAATTTAACAAGGTGCTTTGAGAGACGTCAGCACTAAAGAAAGTTGGAAATGCAAGACAAAACCAGCTTCTTGTGCAGGAAGTTTTTCTTTTCATTTTACAGCTTAGCTGGGAGAATGGTTTGGTGAAAATTAAGCAAACAAAAAGTTTTCCCAGCAGCACATTAAGCTTACACTTTACACCTTAATGTTAGCTACAACAATCCTGGTACAGGCAAATGGTGTTGCCAGCCCACAATGACAAGTGTAAAAATATAAATATGAATACTATAGCTGCATTTCCACAATGCATTTTTTTGAATGTAGTACACAGTTAAAAATGTATAGATAAATATGAATAAAAAACAATTCTGTCACATATATATTTGTGGTTAATCATGATCAGTTAATTCAAATCTGTATTTTGATTATCTTCTCATTTATGTACCACTTCTAGTTAAAGTAGTTAAAGTATACATTACGCCTGATCTAACTGCTATGGTTCTAACTTGAGCACCATCTGTCCGTGCAGTGTGACATTCCCATCTTGGAGCTGAACTTTCATCATACAAATCAATGGCCCATTTCATGGAAACACAATCCTTCCCCTGTCTCTGCAGCAGGACGATTGAATTCCACACAAATACTGCTGACATGCTTTTATTCACAAAGAATGTGAATTTAAAAAGAAATAGCAAAAACTCCTTGGGGTCAGATGTATAATCAGTATAATATTTAGAGCAACCAGAGTTGACAATTTAAAAGCCCTACTGTAACCGAAAACATGTTCCTTTAAAGAACACGTGTTTACTTCAATACTCAACATCAGGTGAGTTTTGCTGAACTGCACATCTCTCCTCTGTAGTTCTCAGGTTCAGTGAACATTTTAGAGAAGTAACGACCCAAATGACAAATGACTTGCAGTCATCGGGAGTTAAGAATTTGGACAGAGGGAAACTACTGGCATCACATTAAAAAGAGATATTGTGCTTCTTTAAGCACTGGCTGAAGTAAACAGAGATAAAACACTGCTGCGACCCCTCCCTGAGCATCCCTCTACTCCTTATTCTCCACAGAGCTCCTAAATCTTCACACAATCATGGTATTAATTATTTAAATAAAAGCTGATGTTAAAGGACCATTACCGAGAAAGCACTGAGAAATGATGACATAAGTGTACTGTCTCTCCCCTAATGATGACCGATGTGGACGTGCTAATCTCATCCTGGCAATGCTCGCAGCCATTCCTCCTACAGCTGGTCTCAATTTCACTGAGGACAGGATTTGGGAAAATTCAAGATCAGACTAACAAGATGTCTTCATACAAACTGAAGTATTCTGAAGTACAATATATGACATATCACATCCACTATCAGGGCAGGGCAGGGCATCAAAAGTGTTTGTTTGTGAAGATACACACTGATTTTCACCCTGAGGCTAGACTCCGAGGAGCCGTACTCACTGTAGTGAAATTCTCTGGACCGCAGTCCTTGCCTCTGTATTTACAGTCGAGCAGCATTTCGTCGATGTTGTGGCTGGTTCTCTGCACAAACTCCAGCATGTTGAAGGTCTTGCTGGGGAAGAACTTGCTGTTGTCTGTGGGCTGCCCTAACGCGGCCATGAAGTCATCGAAGTCGCTCTGCTCCACACCCAGGAGCCCGGCCATCCAGAAGATGTCGTTCCTGCGAATCTGTGACTTCCGAAAGCTGTTGTAGTTGCACATGGTTATTGCGGGGAAGTACATGACCGGACTGTCCATCTCATCCAAAAGGGTGACATGGGGATACTGGTAATACTCGATGACACGATCGGCCACTTGGTAGAGGAAGATGGACAGGGACGAACAGAATGCAGTAGCCCAGAGTAAGCGTCTGAAAGTCACTCCACCGGGCAGGAAGATGTGGCTCAGGCCGTGTAGGGTGCAGTTGGCCCCAAACACGGTGATGTCTGATGGTGGACGAGGAGCCTCCTCTTCTGGCGCTCCCATTTTCTCCAGAGTACTTCCAAACAGTGACCTCTGTTTGGAAGAGATGCTCCTGCCACAGCGGTAACCTACCGACTTCCTCTAGAGTAAATGAGCGAAGCAGGCTGGACAAGTAGCTTCCCCGCTGCACTGAAGGGTGGGGAACATGGGTTGGATGTCCAGGGCTTGTGAGTAGCACTGGAGTGTTACGTCAACCAATCCTCTTCAGGATCTTAGAGGGCACATTGGATTGGAGAGATCTGGTTTCATTTGTGAAGTAACACAGCGGGTGGAGGAAAATAGACCAGACAGTGACACAGAGTGAGGCAAATCTGTGCTAAAGTGGCCCTGAAAGCAGCACAAATTCAGGCCAAATTTACAGCTATTTCTACAGCTACTTCCAGGAGTAAAATAAATCTACCAGATACGCGACCAGGCCGACCCCTATTGTGTGGGAATGATGCTGAAAACAAATCTGAAATCCTCAAAGGTTAACAGTTTTTGAGCATATTTCAAATGACAGCACCACACTGCATCAAATTTAGCTCCGTTGGCATGCACAGAACAGGAACAACCTTGAATGACAGTGATAATCTACTGTTTAATCTATCCTTAATGAAACCTTAATTGACAATGTGGTGAAGGGCCAGTGTACTTCTGATTCATTGACCTCATTAAGCTTATTGCAAATGGCCTGAGAATTTCAATGTGGCACAATCACAGACCAGACATTTTCTTGGCTGCGACCATCACTGGAGGTTATCTAGATTTTTTTTTGGGACTATTACAAATACTACAGTGACATAAGTCCAAAAAATAGTCCAAGCGTATGCCTGTGTACTGTATGTATTCAGATTTACTGCACTAAAGTCAGTGAAGAGACCAATAACAACAGATTCAACCTTGGCTAATCACTTTAGTTTGTAACACAAATCAGCCATCCTGCTGCAGCATCCCTATCATGTGTTTTGTAGCAGCATCAAATATTAATGTGCTCCCCTGCATACATTTCAACTCATGGACAGAGGTGTATTTCTGCAGAATGCAGAGGTTATTTCAGGTCTTTCTGATAAAGAAGAACAGAAATCAAACCTGTGCTGGAAACAGAGTCATCCCCAAAGCAGTAAACATAACAAGTAAATAAATAAAAGGATGTTGTGAGGTCTTGGGATGCCACTAATCACCTGTCTTCATCTCATCACCTCTATTTGATTTTGCTATTGTCAACCCACTAATCTGTTTGCACTTTTTTTCCACTTCTTTCCTCCATTTGTCCTCTGTCGTCATAAAACTGCTGTCGTTCTCCGCCACTAATCACCTGTCTTCATCTCATCCTCTCATCCTTAAAATCCATCGTCTTACATCCTGTGACTGGCAGATAAGTGGCAGCCATTGATGGCCAGTTTCCTAGTCACATTTGTGATATTTAATCTTTAAGCTATTCCGGGTCTAAACAGAGAACACAGTTTGCCATTAGACGTATTCAAGGACTGTGCATGATGTCTCAAAAGTAAAAAAGAAAAACTTTGTCGGCCTGAATCTAAGCCGTAGACTGGAACCTTAAAATGAAAAAAGTCACTGGGTTCACAGAATGCTGATTAAGCCTAACAACTCCTCGCTCGGTGTCTAGTTCCAGGAACAACAAAAATACTTTCAGAAGTAGATGAAAAAAGTAATAATAATAGGAAGAAAAAAAGAAAACTTCAGCAGTTTCAGCTTTAGCCCTGAGCTCCAAGTTTAACTGCAAAATACAACCAGACATGTCTGATAGAACGGCTTATTAAAGTCAGTTTTTAGAGGAAGGATTTAGGACACAAACACTGTCGCACTGTGGTAACAAAGTAGCAGTATGTGAGAGTACACGTCCGTCACATCTTACAAGTACAATACAATTTAAGCCGACCCAGAGTGAAGATAAGCACTGTGAAAAAAGACTGTTTTATAACCATTATAGACTTTACACACAAAGTCACCAGAGGTATTTCTATTGCAATCTATGGCCACAAAGAGGATGTTTAAACAACATCAGTCATAAAAATCTGGTCGTATATGAGTTTACATGTCTTTTTTATTGGTTTAAACCATTTTTGATACTTTTCCGATTATGGTATGGTCTTGTTTCCAAGGTTTAGATTTATTAGGATGTCTCTGTGTTTAAAAGTTGCTTTTTCTCATTGCACAATCAAGTCATCAATCAGATGGTTGCACAAGGTCCAAACTGTCAGTTTTTTCCACAAATGCCATTTGTTGAGGTTTACAGTACAGATGAATAACAATGTGGAAAAGCCAGAAAATTGTCAAATATGCTTCACATTTATTGATTTGTTTGCCATGAAATGTTCCCTTTTCTCTGTCTTACAAAAGAAAAACAGTCTGTGCATTTAACTCCAGCAGTGGGCTCCACCACTTTGGTAATGCGCCAAGGGAGCGAGGGAGTGTTGGTGCCTGCTTAACACATGGCAGTCAGGGACCGGGTTTCAAAGCTGCACACCACTGAATACAAGCTGATTTATCACGCTAATGACACACAGTTATTCCTGGGGAAATAAATGTAGCATGGATAAAACAGCATCTATTTCTGCTGAAGCTGCCGTCTCTGTGAGCAACTGTGTGGTTAGAGTCTGACAGAGAGAGAACGGCAGAAGGAGAATATTCTGTTCTCCTGTGACATCTGAAGCCTTATCTGGTCTGAAGGATTTATTTGTGGACCATTCGCAAACCTCATGTCCGAGCTAATAATTAATAAGCAAATAGTAACTAAAGGTTTCAGATGTATATAACAGAAAAGCTCAGATCAGGTCATGTGACAATGCCAAGTACCTACATTTACAAGAACATGGAGCTTTAAACTTTTAACTAATTTCATGCACTGTTTGCTTTGATTTTTACTCTTAAATTATTTATGGGTTTTGAAAAAAAAGTCACCTTTGGTTAAATCTTTCTACAACCATGGTAAATGGGAAAGTGGTGGAAGTGTATTTCTTTAATTAACAGGTTCAGTCTGAGCGTCGTCCCAGCCACAGCTCAATCAATACCCGGTGGATTTTATCCAGCTGCTTAAAGCGAGCTGATGTGCTGCCTTAAGAAATCACTGCCTCAGTTCATCACGGCTCTACTGTGGCATAAAAACGCTGTCTCTCCGTCAGGAACGGGATGGGTTTACTGCAATGTTCTGACACTAAATGTTCCTTCTTATTAGCAATTTGGTTTCCAAACTGTCAGAGTACGACTGGATGTGGGTGGACGTGACAGAGGGACAGTAAAAGGATGCCTTTTTATCATTTTATTTTTACGACCGCTGAAAGGTCACTTCAAGAGGGAAATTATTTAAAACCATCCAAAAATACACAAATTCAATTGAAATACTCCCCAATGTTCTTTAGTTACGTTACAATTACTGTCATACTGTCATATTATGTCTGTATAATTACAGACTCCCTCCACAGAAGGTTAAAGACAAAAATGAGTGATCATTATGTTGCTTTAAAGCAATGTTTTTGGGGGTTTTTTGTGTGTGGAAAAAACAAAACTAAAATATTAAACTGCAGAAAACAGGGTGATGGATCTGTTTAACATGTTTAATGTTGTTGGGAATGAGCGTCTGTTTCTTTGCATTGCCTTAAATATCTGCAAAGAAAAAATCAACATAAATATCTACCTAAGACTTTGACACTGTATTGTAAACAAAATCAGCCAAGCCAAGCGCTATACAACAAAATACACAACAAATTAACAGCCTAATTAAGACTTTAATGGAGAAATAAATAATTCAACGATGCTCTGGGAAAACGTCTGAAACAGTGACTGAATTGCTGACTGTTATCTTTAACAATTATTTTCATAATGAAAATAATTAAGGCTCTCTACAATGGAGTGCATCATAATGTTCACAACTCATTTAGTACAAAAAGAAATGCATTCACTGCTTGGAGCAGTGAATGAATGAAGGTAACCAACATAATCTGTGAGTCTGGATGTTGCAGGAGAGGAGCATGACGCACCTCCTGATTCCAGGTGCCGGCTCCTTTCCTCACAGCACACTAATGATCACTGTCCAAAAACTGCTGCAGCGTCTCCTCCAAAGATCTCTCTGGTTTTACTTATTCCCATTTTCTGCTCTGTCTGCTGCAATTTGTTTGTTGGCACCAACATTTGTTTTACAACTACTTATAGGAATGATCAACCCTAAGCACAGCACCTTGATGCAGAACTTACACATACACAGATATACATCTATACATGTATCTATCTATTGAGATATATGGATATATGTACATATATACTTCTATCTACAGTATCTGTTTAGATTGATAGATTTAAGGGACACATCTCCCAGCCACATGCTTTACAGTCGAGATAGAAATGTATATTTTATACCATGAATTTTAAATTTCTACCCTCTTCAGAACTCAAGGTTTTCACTCAAGCCTTACATTCAGCAATTATACAAGTTAATCTATCATTTATTAAAGCAGAACTTCCTTCTAACATCCAAGTTTATAATGTTAGGACCCATTTCAACCCATTCTAAAATGATTACTATAAAAACTGACTCCTTAATGAATTAACTACAGACACATAATTGTCCCAATCTCCTAAAACCAAAATGATACTGAAAAATCTCCCCCTTAACTAAGATGTAAGTAAACACTGAGGCCTTTGTCATAACACTGAAACAACAGCTCATATTTTTTTTATCTTCTGCTCAACGTCCCCGGGTGGACAGACAAAGGGAATGCAGCTGGTCTATCTGACAGCACAGAGGAAACGGAAGATGACTGATGAAGACATTCAATCGTCCAGCGCTGACCCCCGCATGTGAGTACACCGTATGAACCTGAAGGTAGCACTGGTCCAGTTGGTAACAGTGGATCCTAAGGATTTGAATATGAATTCCCTTCATATTTTCTGTGTTTGGGCCAATAAAAGAGCTGCTAATGCCTCATTGAGGCGCAGGGCTTTTCATCAGACACAAGCTGGGGACTTCGTGTCGCTGCCAAAGTAATTATACAGAAAATGAAAAGCAGGAAATTTTCACTGTGGACACTTCAAAGAGCCTTTCAAAAATTAATTTTGGTCTATTTAAGACGGCAATTAGCTGTAAGTACGTTCAGGAAAATAAAAGGTGACCACCTCCACCCCCTCTCCCCCCTCCCTTTTTAATTTAACAGAACAGTGTGGAAACGGCACCAGTGAAAAGAGAATCTTATCAAACATTCACATAACGCCAGTGTCCTTGCAGACTGCAGACACTCTCACTCTTCAAAAAAGAAACCCTAAAACAGAGTGAGCCGATCCGTGGCGGATGTAAGTCAGTCGTTTGTTAAAGGGAAAAAAAAAAATCACCTTTAACATCAACCAGACTGTGGTTTTCTGATGATCCTGTGTAATTTTACAAGAAATAACTTTAATTTCTATATCTCTGAAGCCGGAAGTCCCCCCAGGATGGAGCTCATGGTTGGAGTTACTGGAGCCTTGGATGATCTTTGGCTTGAGATAATGAACACTTCCCTTCAGGGTCAGACACATATTAAAGCCTCCTCTCTGGTCTTTGCTGTACTAACGTCATTTGTGAAACATGATCTGGTTGGAGTTTTAACTCCCATTTCAATGATGTTTCCATGTAGCTCTGGACCAAATCTATGCCCCCGGAAAATAAAGTGTCAGTCCGAGTGTTGCCTTTTAATTATTTTCAAGTAAATGATGGAGCATCATGTTCACTGAAATCATTCCAGCAGACTGACGCTTCACTCCACCCATAATTCAACCACCTTTTGTCCTACATGATCTCTGCATCTTAATGTAGCTCTATTAAAATGTAAATGATACAAATATTAATAAACTGTTTCATTAAATAACCCACAGATAATTAGAGACACATCTCATTCTGTATTATAATGAAACAACAAATATAATCCCAATTCTTATCAAAGTCACAGGGGGCGCTGCAGCCAATCCCAGCAGCCATGTGGTGAGGACAGAGTGAATGAAAATCATCTACTTCATTCTAAATCTTTCTGATGACAGTAATTGCATTAGCAGCCACAGGGTGGCAGAGTGATTTGGTACAAAAACTGCTATATTTTTACAGTCTGGAATCACCATAGCTGTGAATGGTTACTTCAGTATTTTGGTACGACTGCCTTGATTTGCTGCAGCTCCCCTTGTGACCCTGAAAAGGATTACAGGCTAGAAG